CTCTTTGCAACTCTGAGTTTCAAATAAACAAGTAAATTTTTAAAAATCAAGAAATATGCCACTGGTGTGCGCATGAACTGCCACTGGGAGAAGACTCAATGAAGAAGCTTCGGAAACTCCATTGGGACATAGACCCTGCAGGAGAACATAAGCAGCAAGGCAAGAAGCAGCCCAGACCATGCCAGGTTACAGTACCCGCCGGCATACATGTGGGTCAGGTCTGGGAATGGACCGGTCTGGGAATGGACCCGTCTGGGCCAGCACATAGCACCCATTGGCAGATTTGAGAACCAGAGTAGGGGGCAGGAGGAGCCAGATCAGGCCGCAACACCAGCCAGTTCACATCAGGACCGGGACAGCAATTAGGTTAGGCTGGGATAGGCTGCAGCACCCACCAGCAGGAACAGGAATAGGGGGCAGACTACACTAGGCCAAGTGGGGCAATAAGACTGCAGAGGCTCAGGTGAGGCGAGTCATTCCAGCCTGGGCCAAACGGGAGCCAGGTACATAAATCCCAGGGAAGGGGGGGTCTGATATGGGTTAGGTAGATTGGCTCAGGTCATGGGGTCCATATGTGTGTTGGGGAATGGGTTTCTGAGTCTTAGTGACAGAGGAAACTGGTAGAATGTGGGTCACTTGGCCCAGATCCTGGGGCCCACCACTAGGTGGATGTTGGTTCCGTGAACTTCGGGGTGGGGAATCTGGTGGGGCCTGGGTCTCCTGGTCTGGGTCTTGGGCCCGGCCTACTACGTGGGTGTTGGGTTTGTGAACCTCAGGGGCGGGGAATCCGGCAATGCTTGGAACATCTGGCCCAGCTTCCTGGACTCGCCTGCAAGAACATACCCTACTTAATGAAAAAGGTGTAGTGGACACAGGCCCTGTTGAAAAAGGAGAGTAAGGCAGCACATTTGGTGCTGTAGCAGAAGATCAGGACTAACTGCACAACTACCCCAGGCAAATGAAGGCAGAAAATAATCTCTGTGAATGGAGTCAATGGTCACTGCGAGGGTGACATCATCCTCGCATCGGTGAAATCAGCAGCATTTTGGAACTATCCAAGCCGCTTGGGCAGAACCCTTGGAATATGCACACACCGAGACTCTGGGTTGCTATGAGGTGCTGGTTCCTCATCCCTGGGTACTGGGATGTGTGGAAAGTCATGAGTGGTTTCCCCCTTTGTTTCTCCCCTTCCCCCAGAAACAACAAGAAATGGCAAATTTGGAAGTAATGAATTCACCCAATTTTCTCTAAACCTTGATCATTCCCACCCTGATCAACAATGTAATAATTATTTTTAAAAATAAAACAGTTAAAAATTCAAAAAAAGAAATAGAAAAAGGCATTTTTAAACACTTACCAACAGTTATTTCTAACTTTTATGGTAAATATGTATAACTATCAATTGGACATTGAAATATCTAAAGATCCCTATGGTCTAGGCTGGACAGCTGTGTATATTTCTTATTGCAGCTCTAATCAGACGCTTACCTAAAATGCATAGAATGACTCTCAAGGCCACTTTACATGGATATCAAATCCAACAACTTTATTTTGTTATAGTTATTTTTCTCCACATGCCTTGTTTAAAAGGCAGTAAGTAGTCTTTGTGCTAATAAAGTAATGACTGTGTATGCCAAGAAAGAAAGAAAGAAAGAGAGAAAGAAAGAAAGAAAGAGAGAAAGAAAGAAAGAAGGAGAGGAAGAAAGAAAGAAAGAAAATGGGTCTGCATTTTGGAACAGTGGGGGTTAGGCTGCCTCCTGCATCACCAGCATTTCATGTCATTCAAGGAGGCTCTGGCTGCTACACTTTCAATCTGCTAATGTGCCAGGGAAAGCAGCAGCAGATGGTCCAAGTGCTTGGGCCCCTGCACTCATCCAGGAGGTCTCCAAGAAACTGCTGGCTTCAGCTTGGCCTAGCCTCAACCATTGGGTCATTTGGGAAGAGAAACAGCAGATAGAAGACCTTTGTTTCTCTTTCTTTGTAACTTTGCCTTTCAAATTAATACAATAAATCTTAACACAAAATCTAAAAATAGATTTACCATCTTGCCCATCTATCCTCTTCGGTGTTTATATGTGAAGAAATTCTGTTGGCTTTAAGCCCAAGAGTAGAATTACTAGATCATGTGGTAATTCTAACTTTTTTGAAAAATTGTAACACTGTTTTGTGCAGTGCCGGTATCATTTTACATTCTCATGATCAGTGGGATATGCGAGTGATGTGTTTGTCCACAACCTTGCCAACACATTTTATTGCCATATTCTAACTTTCAGCAACCTTAATGATCATGAAGTGGTTTATCTCTGTGGCCTTGATTTGCATCTCACAAACTGCCAAAGACAGTGAGCACAGCTGTGAATGCTCCTCAGAGAAAAGTTTATTCAAATCCTCGGCCCATTTTGAAATTGAGGATTTCCTTGTGGTAGCTCAGTTCTAAGAATTCTTTATTTTTATTTTATTTTTTAAAAAGATTTTATTTATTTTTATTGAAAAGGCAGATATACTGAGAGAAGGAGGTACAGAGAGAAAGATCTTCCATGTATTAGTTCACTTGCCAGGTGGTCACAATGGCAGGAGCTGAGGACATCTGAAGCCAGAAGCCAGAGGCTTCTTCTGGGACTCCAATGCAGATGCAGGGTCCCAAGGTTTTGAGCCATCCTCGACTGCTTTCCCAGGCCACAAGCAGGGAGCTGGATGGGAAGTGGAGTAGCTGGGACACAAACTGGAGCCCATATGGGATCCCAGTGCAGGCAAGGCAAGGACTTTGCCACTATGTCATCGTGCCAGGCTCCTAAGAGTTCTTCAAATATGGTACACTGGGCCCAGCACAATTCCTCAGTGGCTAAATCCTCACCCTGCAACTCTTGGGATCCCATATGGACACCAGTTCATATCCAGGCTGCTCCACTTTGCTTCCAACTCCCTGCTTGTGGCCTGGGAAAGAAGTGGAAGATGGTCCAAAGCCTTGGGATCCTGCATCCATGTGGGAGACCAGGGAATGCTTTTGGCTCCTGGCTTCAGATTGGCTAAGCTCTGGCCCTTGTGGCCACTTGGGGAGTGAATCATCAAACAGAAGATCTTTTTCTCCTTCTCTATGTTTCTAATAAAATAAATAAACCTTAAAAAAATCTAAGTATATTTGGTACATTGTAGAAACATACTAGTTGTAACACTTGAAAATACTTCATTCCATTCTGAGGAAGAAAATTTTTAAAATATTTCCTAAAAATCAAAACTAGTGACACAGCACCTGTCAGTCAAAAATAATAACCAACAGTGATCAAGTTTCTCATGTGATTCAGGGGAATCCAGATTCCAGAGCAGTGCTTCCCAACTTTCATACTCACACAAACCAGCTGAGATTATGACAAAACCACAGGGCTGGCTCGTAGCATAGTAGGTAAAGCCACTGCCTGTGACACTGACATCTCATATGGACCCCAGTTTGTGTCCTGGCTGCTCCTTTTCCAATCCAGCTCCATGCTAATAACCATGGGAGGAAGTAGAGGACGGCCCACGTGTTTGGGCACCTGTATCTACATGTGACACCCAGAAGTTCCTGGCTCTTGGCTTCAGCCTGGCCCAGCCCTGGTTGTGGCTATTTGGGGAATGAAGCAACAAAAGAAAGACCTTTTTCTCTCTGTATAATTTTGCCTTTTAAATGAATAAAAATGAATCATAAATAAATAATGAAAATCACCATGAAGACACCTCAGAAGTAACCATTGGAAGCATGAGTTACTGATGAATTTTAATAGTAGTAGACACAGGATAAGAACACTCACATATTAGAGTATCAGCATGGTAGCCTGGTGGCTAAAGTCCTCGCCTTGTAAATGCAGAGATCTCATATGGGCATTGATTCATGTCCTGGTGGCCGCGTTTCCCATCCAGCTCCCTGCTTGTGGCCTGAGAAAGCAGCAGAGGATGGCCAGAGCCTTGAGACCCTGCATCTGCGTGGGAGACCCGGAAGAAGCTCCCGGCTCCTGGTTTTGTATTGGCTCAGCTCCAGCCGTTGCGGCCACTTGGGGAGTGAATCATTGGAGAAAAGATCTTTCTCTCTCTCTCTCTCTCTGTGTAAATCTACCTTTCTAATAAAAATAAACACAAAATTTTTTTTAAAATGCATTTCAAATATTAAAGCTGAGTAGACAAAATGTGTCTCCAACTTTAAAAACAAATGAGCCTAGGGTCCGGCATGATAGCCTAGTGGCTAAAGTCTTCGCCTTGAATGCGCCAAGATTGAATGTAGGCACTGGTTCTAATGCCAGCAACTCCACTCCCCATCCAGCTCCTGCTTATGGCCTGGGAGAGCAGTCATGGATGGCCCAAAGCCTTGGAAACCTGCACCCGTGTGGGAGACTAGAGGACGTTCCTGGCTCCTGGCTTTGGATTGGCTCAGGTCTGGCCAGTGCAGTCACATGGGGAGTGAATGATTGGATGGAAGATATTCCTCTCTGTATATCTGCCTTTCTAATAAAAATAAATAAATCTTAAAAAACAAACAAATAAGCCTAGTATTACCTCCACTCAGGCAAAATGAAATGAACTCCTGGATTACAACAGTTAGATGTCTCTGTACAGAACAGTCTGAAATAGATGAACTAGGGAGGACAAAGACCAGACAAGATTCAAGGTGAATTCTTGCCTCTAGAATGGTGGACAGAAAATAGGGCAGAAGGTGCTAAGAGCGAAGTGCAAGAACTATGAACGGCTGAGAAACAGCGGTGGGAGCACGGTGCCGAAGCACACAGCACACAACACCTGAGCACCTCCTAACTGCACCTCAGAAAAGTTAGGGCCAGGGATGCAATTCCTTCATGCTCTTCCCCTGTAGCCAGCAGCCTTCCATCCATGCGAGCTTGGCTGGTGCCTCTCTCCTTCCTCAGGCCCCTGAGCCCATGGTGTGGGAGCGCGCGCGCGCGCGTGTGTGTGTGTGTGTGTGTGTGAGCGCGCGCGTGTGTGTGTCTGTGTGTGTGTCTGTGTGTGTGTTCGCTTACCTGTGCTCTCCTCGGCCTGATTGAAGCCGCAGATCTGACAGATGCTCTGCACCCACTTATTCATGTCCTCTTCCGTCTCTGCCACCAGATAAAAGGTGCGCTCGCTGGTCTTGATGTCAAACACGAAACTGTCCTGTAGCTCCTTCTTATTGAAGGTCAGGCCTGCATCCACCTGCTCACACAAGTTCAGGTTGATGATCCGCAAGGGTTTCTTGGAGTGGTCATTCTTATAGTACTCTAGAACGTCAGGGTCACCACTCATCCGGCCGCTCCGCAGGATGAACCAGCGCTTCTTCCAAGCCTAAAACAAACCAGGAAGGAGACAAAAAAGGGGAGGGGAAGGTATTAGTTATTCCAAAACTTCACAAAGGGTCCAAGATCATCATATATCCTATAGATTCAGGCTCTACATGTTTGGGTTTACCATTCAGATTCCTTAAGAATTTCTAAACTTCTGAACTGGAGGGCGATTTTGGCACGCTGAGCACAGTACTTCAATATGGAAATAGGGGTCTTTTTTTTTTTTTTTACTAGAAAACTCTTATTCTAAAAGAGGAAGTTGGATGTCGATATTTCAGAGCAATTATCCCTTTAAGCTGGAATGCAGACCCAGATGCATAGCAGGCATCTGGATTTAGCCATGGTAGAATTGGAAAACTCTGACATGTCAGTTTTTAGATATGGGCCTCTGCTAAAGGCAGGGCAGTTAGAGTTGGCAATGTCACACACAGCAAAGCAGCAGCATTACATCCTATGATGTGGTTTTCACTGATTGTAATGTCTTGCAAGAAGCAGCACAGAGAAGCCCTCACAAGGACCAGGAGTCCCCTAGCATTTGGCCAACCTCCTCACATTCTCATCCTTTTCTCTGAAGCTTATAACTTCAGGATTTCCCCTCCATTTTGTTCACTGCTCTACCCTGTGTATTTGTAATACTGCCTTGCATAAATTAAACACTTGATATGGATGACTGAGTAATAAGATGCTTCCAACCATTGTAAATGACAGATTTTCCCACTTGGTGACACATTTCTTAATGCTGTGATCTCTACAACCGCTTCAACAGGACCAAGTCATCCGGGAGTAGAGACCACACAAGGCAGTGGCGAGACCACATAGGACAGACAGCTCTGCATTCAGCTGGACTCGTACCACGGACTTGCGGTGTGAATCTTGACTGAGTCATTTTAGTCTTTGGATCCTGCCTCATCTATAGAAGGAAGAATCGCCATCACTTTCCCTACCTACCTCATGTGAACTTATATTCTACAAAATTGTACATAGCCCTAAGCACCACGTGAATCTCATTACTATCACAATTCTTTGGAACCCACGGATCCTATCCTTCAGTAATCTCACTGCTTCTCACGTTCACCCTTCAGCCCTGTCTTAATTCCCTCTTAGCCAGCATCAGTTCTGTAATCCGTCATTATCACCAGTCCTTTGTTTCCTCCCTTTGGTTCTTCTTGCTTGTCTGGAAAAACTACCACCTCCACCTAACTCCATGGCTTGCCTCTGCCTGTTAAAAATCACAGAACCATTCACACAGTATCCTGACATCACCTTCAAGAGGGCTCTCATGTGGACCATGTAATCTGGGACTGTCCTGATCCTCAGCAACAATCTCTGAATGCCTTTCTCTTTAAAGCTCCTCTCCTTTTATTCCAGGGAAAACATACGAGCAATCAGCGGCAGGTTTACCCATGCACCATCACCACATTTACCAGCTGGGTACCCAGTGCTGGGCCTGATGTGAATTCATCAGCAACTGTTCCTCTTCAGTCGGCTAAGTGTGGTGACCACGCAATAAATATTTATAAGGGGGCCTGAGAGCCTCAGCTGAAAAGCATCCTATGGAATGTAAATGAAGGGCCTGGTGCGATGGCACAGTGGTTAAGGTCCTCCCCTTGCACGCCCGGGATCCCATATGGGTGCTGGTTCTAGTCCCGGCAGCCCCGCTTCCCATCCAGCTCCCTGCCTGGGTCGGCATAGCATTGGCTGTTGCGCTCACTTGGGGAGTGAATCATCGGATGGAGGATCCTCCTCTCTGTATATTCGCCTTTCCAGTAAAAATAAAATAAATCTTAAAAAAATAAATAAATAAAAAGATATGTAGGTGAAGAATTACTGTTGGATTACTGACACATAATGTAAAGGGAATATGGCAACATAAGTCCCAATTTAAAGACTGCTTACACCTATATTAAATTTCACATAAAAATTAACTAAAATTGGATGATAGGCTTATGTGCAAAATACAAACAGAAGCTGGCAACCTATAAAAACCCTAAGTGGGGTTTATTTAATGGAGGTTAAGCTGATTTAATATTTGAAATAAATCAGCATAATCTGCCATATTAACAAGACAGAGAAGAAAGATCATATGGTCATACAAGTCAATGTAGAAAATACATGTGACAAAATTGCAGTACCTATTTTCAATTAAAAAAAAAAAGCTTTCAAAAAATACAATTAGAGGCAAACTTCTTCAACGTGTAAGTCTCATCAACAGGCCAACAGCCAATGTGAATACTTAACTGTGAAAAACTAGATGCTCTTTAAGATAGGAACACAGTGAAGTTGTCTGCTCTTTCATTGTTATTCAACATAGTGTTGGAAGTTTAAAGGTGGTAAAGGAAGAAACAGACTTAAAAGACATACAGGCTGGAAAGTAAGGAAAAAAAAACCCTCTGCATATGACATGATTGTCTACATGGAAAATCCCTATATGCCTATCAAAAAACAAACAAAATCCACTTTTATTTGGAATTAATAAATGAGTCCAGTAAGGTCATTTATAATTGCTATTAAAATTATAAATGCATAAATCTAATAAAGCACAGGCAAGAACTATATGCCAAACATTACCCAATACTAACAAAGTACATAGCGATAATGAGAGAAAATCAAAAGACTTACATAATTAAACCTCTAATCAAGCCCATGATTGAAAGACTAGCACAGTACGCTGATCCAAAGTGACGTACGAGTTTAACTCCCAGCAAGAGGTCTTTCAGCTAAGACTCTAATCTATAAATGGAAATGCAAAGCAGGAGCAACAGTGACAACAATTCTGAGAAAGTTAGCAAGAGGAATCAGTCCACTGGATTTTAAGACTCACAGCCACGTAATGTGGTATTATCGGGAGAAACACAGAACAATGCACTAAAACAGACTCCAGAAGCAGGTCTACACAACATTCTTGCTTGACTTTTGACAAAGATGCAGGACCGCCTTTGCAAATGTCCTGAAGCGACTGGCCATCCATAGGCAAGAAAAAGAACACAATCTAAGCCTCACACCTTAAAAAAAAGCTTAAAATGAATCAGACTTAAATATAATACTATAAAATGTTTAGAACAGAGGGTATCTTTAGATTGGGAATTTTTCATAACAAAACTGTAAGCTCCCCCTCTAATATTTAGTAAATAAGTTCAAATTCTTTAAGCATTTTTCCCTTTTGTTTTGCAAATACTTATTTATCTATGGGCCCAGCCCAATAGCATAGTGTATGTGCTGGGATCCCATAGGGGCACTGGGTTCTAATTCTAGCTGCCCCACTTCCCATCCAGCTTCCTGCTTGTGGCCTGGGAAAGCAGTTGAGGAAAGCCTTGGGACCTAGGACCCGTGTGGGAGACCTGGATCGGTTCAGCAATGGCCATTGTGGCTACTTGGGGATTTAATCAGTAGATGGAATATCTCTCTGCATCTCCTTCTCTCTGTAAATCTGATTTTCCAATTAGAAAAATAAATAAATCTTTAAAAATATATTTATATCAAGGACGTCGCAAAGTTTTGGGACCCTGCACCCGTGAGGTAGACCTGGAAGAGTCTCTGGGCTCCTGGCTTTGGATCGGCACAGCTCTGACTGTTTCAGTCGCCTGGGGAGTGAATCAATGGATGGAAGAGCTTCCTCTTAGTCTCTCCTCCTCTCTGTATATCTGACTTTGGAAAAAAAAAAGTATTTACCTATTTTTCGGTTTTGTTTTGAAAGGTAGATTTACAAGAGAAATCTCTGTCTGCCGGTTTACTCCCCAAATGGCCACAGTGGCCAGAGCCTGGCTGGTCTGAAGCTAGGAACCTTGAGTTTCTTTTGGGTTTCCCACATGGGTGTAGGAGCCCGGGGACTTGGGCCATCCTTTGATGCTTTCCCAGGTATATCAGAAAGGTGCTGGATGAAAAAAATGGAGCAACTGGGATGTCTCAGTCTAAGCTGCTTGGTCAAAACACTAGAATTGAAAAAGCTCAAATTCTAACGAGTGCTTTGGATGATAAAGAGGCAAGACCAAAATACTGCTTTCAAGTAACTTCAAAAATTTACAAAGTTTCAAGAAGATAAAACATCAGTACATTCCCTAAAGCAAAAAACAGTGTTTCTTAAGTACCACATAAAGAAATATATTATGCTGTTGCATCACTACACTCAAGCATTTAGGGAGCAGATTGGAGGGAGGGAGAGAGAGAGAGAGAGAGAAATTCACGAGTATGAACAATGAGGAAAATGAAATGCAGAAAGGAAAAATAAAAGACAGCAATACCATTTAGGAAGTGGCTGCAAGAGTGTGCAATAGTAAGACAAGATGGGAACCTAAATTAGGTTAGCACAATAATGGGAAGATGGGGGGAAAATGCAAGTCCTCTAACAACAAGGTATAATGTACAAGCTACAGGGGCTACGGTCAAGAAAGTTAGACCAAGTCAGAATTTATGCTGAAAATCAAGAGCAAGCCACCACCTTCTCTGATGAAACAAAAGTGACTGTTTTCCTTTTGTACCCACAGCCTGTCAGAAAACAAACCATTTCATAACCAGCTAGACTACAGACACGAAGTTGGGTTCCCGTAACCTGGAAGTTGCATCACTCCTGACTGCTGAGCAGAAAAGGCATGTCACATGAACCTGTTTGTCCTTTGGGTTACACCAAGGTCTCCAAGCACACCGAACAACGCCATGACTTCCTCCCATTGCTCTCAGCACCCAGCACACTTCTATTTCTGTACTTTTCTTAAAAACAAATTATTTATTTGAAAATCAAAGTGTTAGAGAAAGGGGGAAAGAGAAGGAAAAGGAGGAGGAAATGCAGGAGGAGGATGGAGAGATAGAGACAAACTGGAGCAACTGATTGATTGATCTTTCATTCATTAGTTCATTCTGCAAATGCCCACCACAGCTGGAGCTGACCTAGGCTAAAACCAGGAACCAGGACCTCCATCCAGGTAACATGACCCTCTTCTGCCGCCTCCCAGGCACATTAGCAGGAAACTGGATTGCAAGCGGAGGTGGGACTTGATTCTCACATTT